TGGTGTGCTTCGTTCGGTGCATGTGCTCCTCCATCCTAGAGACAGTGAGGTCACTCATCCGAAGCCCTTCAGGAAACACGACCTCCTGCCTGATATTGTTGTCACCCCTGCTGTTGGTTTCATCTCCCTTCTCCCTGGCTGAATTTTTCAACTTCAGCCATTGCCTCAGTGAGCCACTCCCGTCCCCAGGTAGACCCTGTTATTCTCTGCAAATACCACCTCTCCAGAATCGCTCACTGGTCCCCCAGGTAAAGGTCGTCCTCTACACTATTGTTCCCTGTTGGCCCCCCACCACAGGTAGGGCCGGGGCTGGAGTGTCTACATCTCCCGTCCCTGATGCCCCCTAGGCCTGTCAAACTTCCTCTCTCAAGTTTCCTGACGGGGCCTCCTCACTCAGGCTGAACTAATAGCCCTCCCCTTGCTGCCCTTCTCGCTGTGAGGAAGAAGCAGATGGTTCTGCCCCTTAGCTTGTCTCTTTGCGATTCCAGGTCTGCTTTCTCGACAGAGATCGCATTTGAATCTACTGGCTCTGGGCCTCATCCTCCAGATACGAGGAATTTAACATCATCCACACTTCCAGAGATGCGAGCCGCCCTGTGACATTCACTATAGACACCCAGTCATATGTCAGTATCTTGAGAATGAGGCAACAGGTAACCTTACCAAGACTGGCTTACCCACAACAAGGCCACACCTGACTACATTGTTCCTCCGAAACACTCTTACAGGTAGGACCCCGTCCGCCGCAAACAGAAAGCTCGAGAAACAGCCATCCCCTGGACTCCCCGCCCACATGGTACGATGTCCTCCGTAAAGCACCTGACCTCTCGTACGTCTACGGGAAAGGGTCATGAGAGGACATGATTTGCTGCCCACGTATCATCGTGGGTATGACTTTTGGCAGGGAATTGTCCCCACATCCCTACAAACAACGCTTTCTTGTGCATTTATGCAGAAGACCCGACAGCCACCCCTTATTCACTACCTCCTAAGATGTCCCCACACACAACGCTTCCCGTGATGCTGGACCACCACTCCACGACCCCTGTCGAGAACACAGTAATCCCCTCCCAATACTGGCCAGATATTTTTGTAAATATGTGATTATGTGTTAAGAACGTGCTTCTTCCCTTAGGCTTTAGTAAGCCCCTTTAAATATTTATACTGTATATACTTTTCACACTTGCAGATGCTTACTGAATATTGTACAAAGTACTAGTAACGCACTAGAGATCCCACTTCTCTATCAAGAACCAAACAATTAAGTGAAATAGAATTGAATGATTGACAGTTCACCATCACGAGTCGGCAGCAAAGCTAGGTCACCTCAGAGTTCACCCAGCAACAAACAATCTGTTTCACTCGGACCTGTGTGTGATTTGTGGTCCTCATTATTCTTGCAGAAGTGTTGTTCCTTGAAAAAGAACTATGTTTATAGTTATGCAGTATAATTTTGTTGAATTCGGGAGTAAGTTCTCCAGCACATATATGTTGTTCTTAAACGTAATTCTGTGGTCCATAACACCTGATCATACGCTTCATTGATGTGTCTGGTTTGTGGTCTTTTGAAACCTATTTAAGTCCTGTTTGTGGTAATTGGTTCGCTTTTCAACGAAAAATTAATGAACCCGAAATACAGAATATTTTAGCGAATACGGTACTTCTATTAAAGAGTGAAATTTAAGTTGTTATTGTGCCAAGTAAATATTGGAAATTTAAATGAATAGTGTATTTTATTAAATTAGCAGGAATTGTGCTCCGTTTCGGTAGAAAATGTGACCGAAATTTAGTTTACTTTTAAGTGCATTAGATGGTGTTTGTGTAAACCGATGTAGTATCTTTTATTAGTGTTTTAAAGAGTGTAACATTGACATTTACTCGGGCTAAAGCTTCAATATGGGTATGAAACTGAAAGTACTCTTTAACATTAAAAGGCATAAATTGTGTTCATGGCTGTGACTGACCGTCTATAAGCTGAAATGTGCGTATATTACTGCATCTCCGGCTAGAACAGATAATAGTGAAAAGTGACCGTTATGAAACCTGAAAAAAGAAGCCGCAGCTATGAGTGTTTTAAGTAATAAACCACATTGGTGCCTCAAAGTTTTTTGTATTTTTGAATTCTGTCAGGTGATTTTGTGTGTAGTGATAAAGTGACCCTATAAACCCGAGAAAGTGGGTAAAATAAGTCTCCCCGACAACCAGATATAAACTTGGATGCGAGGGTTAAGACCAGAAGGACAGGTAAATTCATTGCTATGTATATTGAGTTCATAGCCAGGAAGATAAATTTGACATTAATAACAATCTTGAAATGGCTGGTCAATAGGCAACGGGTCATAATTGGCCTTTGTACAGTCACTTATCTCAGAGGTATTATGTAACCTTCAGTGTGAGTTTGGAAAAACCATGGCGATTGCTTTGGCTATCTTGTTTCTTTCAAGAATATTTTTAGTCTATACATATTTTGGTAGTTGGTACTGTTCCAAAAAAACAATAATGAGATTGGAGAGCAAGCGAAAATCTCATAAACCACACAACATATATACGTAGTTGGCCGCCAGGATCAATCGATGACGTTGGTGTGCAAGGTGCAGGTCGCCTGTCAGGGGTTCACAACTTTAATTTTGCCTCCGCGTGTGGACGAGGAATTATTATACCTGCTGTAGGCATAAATTTCCTCATTTCATACTTCTTTTTATTCAATATATTTCTATAATTTTTTCTTGCTCAAATTAGTTATATTTATTCTCTTGTTGTTTCTTCCTTGTGCATCCGTATATACGTGAACCTGGGAAGTTCCGGCCCACATACATAACAGAAAGATTAATCTCGCCAACCGCATTAATTCAATTCACCACGGTCGCTGTACACGCCAGAACGTCAGTGTCACGGGTCAGGCTCCTTTAAATACTGTCTACACTGAAATTTCTATGCTTTCAGACCGGAAAGAAATTTTTCATCAATGCATTAGCTCGACGTTTCTCGCCACCACAATAATTACTGCCGCCCAGGCTGCTAAGCAACGATGCGGCCGTATCCTCCGATCTAAATGCCTGTAATATCACCATATCGTTTAAGTTATTTGTTTAATAATCCTGTTGGAGGCAGCTCCCCATAATGGAGGACATTGTCCTCTGTTGTTAAATTTGGTTACTGCAATATGGTTTTCAGACCGTGATTGAGATTAACCTTAATGACTTATTGCAGGTGGTAGATGTATTGGAACTGTAATGCTCGTACTGTGGATTATAAATTATTTAGCAGAATTTGAGCTAGAGCCGAGCGTGTCTACTAAACGTGTTACGGTGATGTTAAATTTTGCAATACCATAATTAAAATTGAAGGGTGTTGCCAATACTTGAGTAGTTGGTGAGCGAGTCTTGTAAACGTTTGGTATTTGGGTAATATTTTCTTTATTTTCAGATTGTTGTAGAGTGGAAAAAAGGATGAGTATTTTTTTGAGTTAGACTATGGGACCACTGATGGGTAAGTGTTGACTTTATTGGTTTATAAAATAGTTTATAGGAAATTTTAACAGGGCTGTGGAGTCGAAGAAACCTTCGACTCCGACTCCTCAAATTTTTATGCTTCCGACTCCGACTCCGACTCCTTGGCCTTTTGTAACCACTATTTCTACCATCTAATTGTAATTTGTATGTTGTAACCTGCGCGTTAAAAAGTAAAACACCGTGGCTATACTGCTACAGCTTTATTAATGATCTGGACGATATTTAAGAACTACAAAAAGATGATAGGCTTGACTTTCAAAGTTTCAATCAAAGAAAAATAAATTTATTAAGAATTCAAGATATTAACTAGAAAACACCATTTATATGTATATCTAAAGTTCGATCTCAGCATATGAATTTTGTTTAAGCTCATAATCTGATGTGAATCTAAATAATGATCCTACAATTCCCTTTTTAAAAGTAAAGTTGTATTTTATGTACATTAAAAGAAATGAATACCTTAATAAGGAAAATGGATAAACCTTACATGATTAAGTTATTAAATTAAATTTGCCTTAATCTCACCAAAAACAGGTTGTAGCTAATTGTTTTGTAGCTGAGAGCCTCTGTGCAGTTTTCAACAGAAACAAAATTTGATATAATTCAAAATTTCAAATGGTAAAGAAGAACTATCGTCAAAATTATAGTGCTATACTGTGCCTGCTACATTAAATTCATAATAATGCTTATAAAATGGAAATAAATTCTTTTAATTTAAGAAAATTAGTGGTCAGTGGAATCACTGCAATGAATATGCCATGAGTTCATATATTTGTTCTTAGGAACAGAATAGCTTCAGTGAGTCGGAGTCGGAGTCTGGACAATTTACCGAACTCCGACTCCGACTCAAGCAATTTCCTCCGACTCCTCGACTCGACTCCACAGCCCTGGTTATAATGGCACTGAACTGAAATTGAAATAAATTATATAAACCAGAGTAACGGGGTGAGGCGTCACCCATCGCTAAAAGTTCTGCTGGGTGACTTGGGGTTGTGTTACTGATTTGTCTCCACCTGTGATGATGAGACAAACCCTGAATCTGTCTGGATACTTGTGTGGGGTCTCTCAGTCAGTAGAAATAAATTCTGTAAGCAAGATAACTATCTCCTCAATATAAAGTTATAATGAAACTTTGTAGGAAATCTTGTCTTATCAGTCTTGTATATGATTATATAGAGTTTTAATTAACCTTGTGAGCTTTCTAGAATGACCACATCACTGAAAATGTTGTGTTTACTTTGAAACAAGAACAATTTACCATCATTGAAGTTAGAACTTTCCCAGTCTTGTAGAATCAATAGTCTGGTATGTGACATGTCCTTGGTATGATTCTAGTGTGCTGACACGTGGTCGTGGATGAAGTGGAGACGAGCAGTACGACGTAGTGACGTGCCTCAACCTACTGGACCGCTACGACACCGGACCCTCATCGAGGATATCCGCAAGCTGTCGACGCACGCAGGGGCCTTGTTGTGGCTCTCGTCCTCCCTTCAGCCCCTATGTTGAGATTGGTAAGTGATCTGTACATTCAAAGAGACGAACATGAGGCGACGTCCCCAAAACAACGATATCGCTAAACAGGGTTTTCTAAATACAGTACAACAACATCTTAACATCCAGTCACTTTACACACACAAATGAATCTTTATAATGTTCTGGGCTCAGCAAATTCAGTTAATAATTGAAGCATATTGGAGTCATTTAGTTTGGGAAGAGATCTCAGCTGAATGAGTATTGTATTTTATTCATGTAGAATCTTTAGGCACCATTTGAAACAAGGGGCGTTCCACTTATGTTTACGTTAAATCTGACCTTACCTTTCCTGGCTGTGTTTCAAAGAAATAGACAGGTCTGACAAAATAAGAGTAATTATTGTTGGTTAGCTAGACTTCTATAAAGACGTGCTAATGAGATGTACAGACAGAACTTCACGCTTCCCCTACCCCACCTCCCTGACCCTCCCCACCCACCTTCCCTCACCCCCCCCACCTCCTTAGACCTTCACCCCACCTCCCTTAAACCTTCCCCTACCCACCTCCCTTGAACCTTCCCCACCCCACCTCCCCAGACACTTCCCCTACCCACCTCCCCATGGACCTTCCCCTACCCCACCTCCTGAACCTTCCCTACCCACCTCCTTAGACCTTCCCCACCTCCCTTGAACCTTCCCCTACCCCCTCCCCACACCCCTACCCACCTCCCCTTAGACCTTCCCTACCCACCTCCTTAGACCTTCCCCTACCCCACCTCCTTAGACCTTCCCCTCCCCCCACCTCCTTACACCTTCCCCTACCTCCTTACACCTTCCTACCCCACCTCCCTTACACCTTCCCTACCCCACCTCCTTACCCACCCACCTCATACCTTCACCCACCTCCTTAGACCTTCCCTACCCCACCTCCTTACACCCCACCCTACCCCTCAGACTTTTTCCCCTGCCCCACCTCACTCTACCCACTCCCCAGACTTCCCCACCTCATACACCTTCCTACCCCACCTCCCCTTGAATTTCCCTACCCCACCTCCTTACACCTTCCCCTACCCACCTCCCTTACACCTTCCCCTACCCACCTCCTTACACCTTCCCCTACCCCACCACTCGCCACCTTCTACCCCACCTCTACCTTTCCTCCCACACTCCCTTACCTTCCCTACCCACACTCCCCTTACCTTCCCTACCCACCTCCTTAGACCTTCCCTCACCTCATGAACCTTCCCCTACCCCACCTCCCTTAGACCTTCCCCTACCCCACCTCCCCATAGACCTTCCCCTACCCCACCTCCTTAGACTTCTTCCCACACCTCCTTGCCTACCCCACTCCTTACTTTGCCTACCCCACCTCCCTTACTTTGCCCCACCTCCCCTTACACCTTCTACCTCACACTCCTTCCTTCCCCACCTCCCTTACACCTTCCCCACCCACCTCCTTACACCTTCCCTACCCACCTCCCTTAGACCTTCCCCTACCCACCTCCCCTTAGACTTTGCCCTACCCCACTCCCTTGAACTTCCTACCCCTCCCCCACCTTCCCTACCCCACCTCCTTAGACTTCCCCTCCACCTCCCTACCTTCCCCTACCCCTCTAGACCTTCCCTACCCCACCTCCCTTAGACCTTCCCTACCCCACCTCCCTTAGACTTTGCCCTACCCCACCTCCTTAGACTTTGCCCTACCCTCCTTAGACTTTCCCTCCCACCTCAACTCACCCCACATCTTACCCTTCCCTACCCACCTCCTAGACTTTGCCTACCCCACCTCCCTTAGACTTTTCCCTACCTCCCTTAGACTTTCCCCACCCCACACTCCCTTACACCTTTCCCTACCACCTCCCCTTAGACCTTCCCCACCCACCTCCCTTACACCTTCCCTACCCCACCTCCCTTGACTTTGCTCTACCCACCTCCCCATGGACTTTGCCCTACCCCACCTCCCTTAGACCTTCCCCCCACTCCCCACCTCCCCCCAGACCTTCCCCCACTCCCCACCTCCCCACCTTCCCTACTCCCCACCTCCCCTTAGACCTCTCTACCCCACTCCTCCTCCCCTTAGACCTCTCCTCACTCCCACCTCCCCACACCTTCCCTACCCCACCCCCCCCTTAGACCTCTACCCCACCTCCCCAGACCTTCCCTACCCCACCTCCCCTTAGACCTCCCTCACCTGACCTCCCCTTAGACCTTTCCCTACCCCCACCTCCCTTAGACCTCCTTTCCTCACCCCCACCCCCCACACCCTCCTCCCCCACCCCACCCCCACACCTTCCCCACCCCACCTCCCCCACACCTTCCCCACCCCACCTCCCCCTTACACCCTTCCCCACCCCACCTCCCCAGACCTCTCCCCCACCCCACCTCCCCAGACCTTCCCCCACTCCCCACCTCCCCCCACACCTTCCCCTACCCCACCTCCCCAGACTTTGCCCCACCCCACCTCCCCTTAGACTTGCCCACTCCCACCTCCCCCAGACCCTTGCCCTCACCCCACCTCCCCCTACACCTCCCTACCCCACCTCCCCTTAGAATCTCCCTACCCCACCTCCCTTACACACCTTTCCCCACCCCACCTCCTTACACCTTCCCTACCCCACCTCCCCTTTGACCTTCCCCACCCCACCTCCCCACACCTCCCCCCTACCCCACCTCCCCAGACCTTTCCCTACCCCACCTCCCCAGACCTTCCCCCACCCCCACCTCCCCAGACCTCCCCCACCCCACCTCCCCTAGACCTTCCCCTACCCCACCTCCCTAGACCTTCCCCTCACCCCACCTCCCCAGACCCTCTCCCCCTACTCCCACCTCCTCCCTTAGACCTCACTCCCACCTCCTCCCCTTAGACCTTCCCTACCCCACCTCCCCAGACCTTGCCCCACTCCCATCTCCCCCTTAGACTTTTCCCTACCCCACCTCCCTTAGACTTTGCCCTACCCCACCTCCCCCTTACACCTTCCCCACCTCACCCCCTTAGACCTCCCCACTCCCCTCCCCACACCTTCCCCCACCCCACCTCCCCACACCTCTTCCCTACCCCACCCCCCACACCTTCCCCACCACACCTCCCCCTAGACTTTCCTCCCACCCCACCTCCCCTTAGACTCCTCCCCTACCCCACCTCCCCCCCCACACCTTCCCCTCACTCCCACCTCCCCCTAGACCTTCCCCTACCCCACCTCCCCTTACACCTCCCTACCCCACCTCCCCTAGGACCTCTCCCCCACCCCACCTCCCCTTAGACCTTCCCCCACTCCCACCTCCCCTACACTTTCTCCCCTACCCCACCTCCCTTAGACTTTGCCCCACCCCACCTCCCCTTAGACTTTGCCCCACCCCACCTCCCCTACACTTTCTCCCCACCCCACCTCCCCCTTAGACCTCTCCCCCACCCCACCTCCTTAGACTTTGCCCTACCCCACCCTCCCCTTAGATCCTCCCCACCCCACCTCCCCACTTCCACCCACCTCCCCCTTAGACCTTCCCCCCCTACCCCACCTCCCCTTACACCTTCCCTACCCCACCCCTCCCCTTAGACCTTCCCCCCACTCCCCACCTCCCCTAGACCTTTCCCTCACTCCCCACCTCCCCTTAGACCTTTCCCTACCCCACCTCCTCAGACCTTCCCCACCCCCACCTCCTTAGACCTCTTCCCCTCACCCCACCACCCCCCCTTAGACCTTCCCTCACTCCCACCTCCTTAGACCTTCCCCTCACCCCACCCCCTGACCTCCCCCCTACCCCCCACCTCCCCTTAGACCTCCCCCACCTTAGACCTTCCCCACCTCCTTAGACCCCACCTCCCCTTAGACCTTCCCCACCTCCCCTTAGACCTTCCCCACCCCCCCCTTCCCCACCTAGACCTTCCCCACCCCACCTCCCCCTTTGACCCTCCCCTTAGACCTTCCCCCCCCCCCCACCTCCCCCCTACCCCACCTCCCCAGACCCCCCTACCCCACCTCCCCTTAGACCTTCCCTACCCCACCTCCCCTTAGACCTTCCCCCCCCTACCCCACCTCCTTAGACCTTCCCCTACCCCACCTCCCCTTAGACCTTCCCCTACCCCACCTCCCCTTAGACCTTCCCCCTACCCCACCTCCCCTTAGACCTTCCCCTACCCCACCCCCTTAGACCTTCCCCTACCCCACCTCCCCTTAGACCTCCCCACCCCACCTCCCTTAGACCTTCCCCTACCCCACCTCCCCTTAGACCTTCCCCTACCCCCCTCCCCACCTTCCCCTTCCTTCCCCCCCCACCTCCTTAGACCTTCCCCTACCCCACCTCCCTTACACCTTCCCCTACCCCACCTCCCCTTACACCTTGCCCTACCCCACCTCCCACCTCCCCTTACCTGACCTGACCTGCCCTACCCCACCTCCCTTAGACCTTGCCCTACCCCACCTCCCTTAGACCTTGCCCTACCCCACCTCCCCTTAGACCTTGCCCCACCTTCCCTCCCCCCCTACACCTTGCCCTACCCCCACCTCCCCTTAGACTTTGCCCTACCCCACCTCCCCTTAGACTTTGCCCTACCCTACAAAATCCTGGATCCATTCTAATCATAGTTGTTCATGAAAGCCTTTTGTTTGATTCTCTCTGGTGTGATGACTAATCAGTCCAAAGAATAATCAGCTCCTAATACATAACCTTAACGTGCGTATTACACACACGTTGTGTTTTCTTATTTTTCGCATATCGTATTAAGTTGTTTCGAACACTGCATTGAAATCATGTAATCATAATCTCATACATATGATAACAATAAATTCAGTTGTTGGTCGTTTTGGAATTTCTGTTCCAGTAGAGTATCGCCAGAGCACATTACCCCACTCCCCCCTTAAAATGTTTCCCCGAGATCAGGGGCAGTCCGGACCTCCCTCCTACATTATTCTGACATTGCAGGTACCATAGACAACATGCCGTCTGAGGAGCTGGGCGTTACGGGCACTGCCATAGAGGAGCAGGTTAACAGTTTAGCCACAGACGTCTTCCCCAGCCTGGGATACAAGCTGGAGCGGTGGTCGCGTCTTCCATACTTGTGTGAAGGTGACCTCGACCAGGCCTTCTATTGGCTGTCCGATGTTGTTATGGTGTTTAGCAAGGTCAATGACTGGTCAGAGGTCAACGAGAAGACAATATCTGCCAAACAGACAACGGAAGAGAGTGAAGATCATTACGATGACGCCCTTGACCATGTCGTATAGAGGATCAGATCATATCAAGAGAAGTGTTGAAAGACCATAGTATCTTATAAAGAGATGTCTTACTGAATATTTCACACTTCAAATAATGTAATTTTATAAATATATTTTATTAAGATTTGTTCATTTATTCCTCTGTTGAAAGATTGTTACTGTACTGGGAAATAAAACTTACTTTTGGATATATAAATGAAGTAGTTTCTGTTCTCCTTACTATAGGGTTAAGAATTGAAGAGCGTGTTAGATAAAATAAGCATTATGTTCATTTGTATGTGCAGTGTGTACAAATAAACTGGCAGGAGAACCTATATATAGTAATGACAATTAACCCTTTCACGGTTACTACCAGGTTATTCAATCGACTTTTCGTGGAGGTAGATTATCGACTTTTTGGGAAATATTAGCATATTTTCCAAAGTAGATTATCATAGAAAACGGGAAATTTGTATCACAGAAAATGGGAAATATTTCTACTTTCTGGGAAAGTTGGTTATCTACTTATCATAGAAAACGGGAAATTTGTGTCATAGAAAATGGGAAATATCTACTTTCCGGGAAAGTTGGTTATCTACTTTCCTGAAAAGTAGATTATCTACTTTTCGGGAAAGTAGATTATCGACTTTTCGTGGAAGTAAATTATCCACTTTTGAGAAATATTACCTATTTTTCAGAAGTAGATTATCATAGAAAACGGGAAATTTGTATCATAGAAAATGGGAAATATCTACTTTCCGGGAAAGTTGGTAATCTACTTTTCTGAAAAGTAGATTTTTCTATTTTTCCGGAAAGTAGATTATCGACTTTCGGGAAGTAGATTGAATTTTGGGGAAATATTACCTAATTTTGCGAAGTAGATTATCATAGAAAACGGGAAATTTGTATCATAAAAATGGGAAATATCTACTTTCCGAAAGTTGGTTATTTACTTTTCCCGAAAAGTAGATAGATTTTCTACTTTCGAAAGTAGATTATCGACTTTTCGGGAAGTAGATTTTCGAATTTTTGGGGAAATATTACCTAATTTTTGCGAAAGATTATCATAGAAAACGGAAATTTGTATCATAAAATGGGAAATATCTACTCCGCGAAAGTTGGAGTTATTTACCCCGAAGTGCAGATAGATTTTCTACTTTTGTAGATTATCGACTCGGAAGTAGATTTTCGAATTTTGGGGAAATATTACCTAATTTTGCGAAGTAGATTATCACAGAAAACGGAAATTTGTATCATAAAAATGGGAAATATCTATCGAAAGTTGGTTATTCATTCTCAAAACTGATAGATTTTCTACTTTTCGGAAAGTAGATTATCGAATAGGAAGTAGATTTTCGAATTTTGGAGAAATATTCCTAATTTGCGACGTAGATAATCATAGAAACAGGAAATTTGTATCATAAAAATGGGAAATATCTACTTTCCGGAAGGTTGGTTATCTCTTTTCCCGAAAAAGTAGATAGGTCTACTTTTTGGGAAAGTAGATTATCATTATTTCGAAATGAATTTTCAATTTTGGAAATATTACCTAATTTTGCGAAGTGGAATTATCATAGAAAACAGGAAACTTGTATCATAAAAATGGGAAATATCTACTCCGGGAAAGTTGGTTATCTACTTTCCCGAAAGTGAACAGATTTTCTACTTCTCGAGGAAAGTGAATTATCGACTTTTGAAGTAGATTTTTCAGGAGAAATATTACTAATTTTGCGAAGTAGTTATAATAGAAACGGGAAATTTGTATCATAAAAAATGGAAATATCTACTTTCCGGGAAAGTTGGTTATCTACTTAAAAGTGAACAGATTACTTTTGGGAAAGTAGATTATCGACTTTTAGGGAATGAGTTTTTCAATTTGAAATATTACCTAATTTTGCAAAGTAGATTATCATAGAAACAGGAAATTTGTGTCATAAAAAATGGAAATATCTACTTTCCAGAAGTTGGTTATCTACTTTCGAAAATAGATGCATTTACTTTCGGAAAGTAGATTATCGACTTTTCGGGAAGTGAATTTTTTCCAGTTTGAAATATTACGTAATTTTGCAGTAGATTATCATAAAACAGGAAATTGTGTCATAAAAATGGAAATATCTACTTTCCGGGAAAGTTGGTTATCTACTGAAAAATAATTCTACTTTTGAGAAAGTAGATTATCGACTTTCGGGAAGTAGATTTTCGAATTTTGGAAATATTACCTAATTTGCGAAGTAGATTATCATAGAAACGGAAATTTGTATCATAAAAATGGGAAATATCTACTTTCCGGGAAGTTGATTTATCTACTTTCGAAAATGAACAATTTTTCTACTTCTCGGGAAAGTAGATTATCGACTTTTCGGGGAAGTAGATTTTTCGAATACAGAAATATTACCTAATTTTGCGAAGTAGTTATCATAGAAAACGGGAAATTTGTATCATAAAAATGGGAAATATCTACTTTCCGGGAAAGTTGGTTATCTACTTTCGAAAAAGAAAATCTGTCTTGATTATCGACTTTTCGAAGTAGATTTTCGAATTTTGGAAATATTACCTAATTTTGCAAGTAGATTATCGAAAACGGGAAATTTGTGTCATAAAAATGGAAATATCTACTTTCCGGGAAGTTGGTTATCTACTTTCCCGAAAGTAGATCATTTTCTACTTTTCGGGAAAGTAGATTATCGACTTTTCGGGGGAAGTAGTTTTGAATTTTGGGAAATATTACGTAATTTTGCAGAAGTAGATTATCATAGAAACAGAAATTGTGTCATAAAAATGGGAAATATCTACTTTCCGGGAAAGTTGGTTATCTACTTTCCCGAAGTAAAATATATCTACTTTTCGGGAAAATGATTATCGACTTTCAGGGAATTAGATTTTTCGAATTTTGAAATATTACCTAATTTGGCGAATTAGATTATCATAGAAAACAGGAAATTTGTATCATAAAAATGGGAAATATCTACTTTCCGGGAAAGTTGGTTATCTACTTTCAGTAGATAGCTTCTACTTTTCGGGAAGTAGATTATGGACTTTTCGAGAGTAGATTTTCGAATGAAATATTACGTAATTTTGCGACGTCGATTATCATAGAAAACAGAAATTTGTATCATAAGAAATGGAAATATCTACTTTCCAGGAGAAAGTTGGTTATCTACTTTCCGAAAAGTAGATAGATCTACTTTTCGGGAAAAGTAGATTATAGACTTTCGGGGAAGTAGATTTTCGAATTTTGGAAATATTACTAATTTTGCGAAGTAGATTATCATAGAAACGAATTTGTGTCATAAAACAGGAAATATCTACTTTCCGGGAAAGTTGGTTATCTACTTTCCCGAAAAATAAACTTTCTACTTTTCGATAGATTATGGACTTTTCGGGAAATAGATTTCGAAGAAATATTGCGTAATGTTGCGACGTAGATTATCATAGAAAGAAATTTGTATCATAAAATGGGAGATATCTACTTTCCGGGAAAGTTGGTTATCTACTTTCCCGAAAAGTAGACAGATTTTCTACTTTTCGGGAAAGTAAATTATCGACTTTTCGGGAGTAATTTTTCGAATTTTGGAAATATTACCTAATTTTGCGAAGTAGATTATCATAAAACGGGAAATTTGTGTCATAAAACGAAATATCTACTTTCCGGAAAGTTGGTTATCTACTTTCGGGAAAGTTGGTTATCTACTTTCCCGAAAAGTGAATGAACTTTCTACTTTTCGGGAAAGTAGATTATCGATTTTTCGGGGAAGTAGATTTTTCGAATTTTGGGAAATATTACCTAATTTGGCAGTAGTTATCATAGAAACGAAACTTGTCATAAAATGGAAATATCTACTTTCCGGAAAGTTGAGTTATCTACTTCCGAAAAGTGAATAGATTTTTCTACTTTCGGAGAAAGTAGATTATCGACTTTGGGAAGTAGATATTCGAATTTTGGGAAATATTCCCTATTACTAATTTTACGTAATATTTGCCCCAAAATTCGAATCTCTTCCTGAAAGTCGATAATCTCTTTCCCGAAAATAGAAAAAACTATCTACTTTTCGGGAAGTGAATAGCAACTTTCGGAGAGAATGTTCCATTTTTATGACTAAATTTCCCCGTTTTCTGAGATCAAATTCAGGAAGTAGATAACAGTTTCCCGGAAGTGAATTTCCCTTTTGTGATGCAAATTCCAATGAGATAACGAACTTTCCCCGGAAAGTGAATATTCCTTTCCCGAAAAGTAAGAAATCTATCTGCTTTTCAGTAGATAACCTTTCCCGGAAAGTAGATATTTCCCATTTTTATGATCAATTTCCGTTTCTATGATAATCTGCCGCTAGGTAAACAATATTCAAAGTCCGAGAGTGCTAAAATCTATCTACTTTTCGGGAAGTAGATAACAACTTTCGGAAAGTAGATATTTCCCATTTTTGTAAAATTTCCGTTTCTACGATAATCTACTTCGATTAGGTAATATTTCCCAAAGTAATCTCAAAATCTAACTTTCGGAAGTAGATGTTTATTTTGATGCAAATTTCGTTTTAGATGAAAATCTACTGAAGGTAGATAACCGGCTCCGGAAAGTGGATAGATGTTCCCATTTTGTGCAGGAAGAGTGGGATAGGAATGGAAAGTGAATTTCCCATTTTATGATACAATTTCCCGTTTTCTATGATAATCTACTTCGCTAAATTAGGTAATATTTCCCCCAAATTCGAAAATCTACTTCGAAAGTCGATAATCTACTTTCCCAAAAAGTGAAAAATCTATCTCACTTAAGGAGTAAATAATAACTTTCGGAAAGTGATATTTCCCATTTTTATGATACAAATTTCCGTTTTTCTATGATAATCTACTTCCATAAAATTAGGTATATTCCCCAAAATTAAAAATCTACTTCCCAAAAAGTCGATAATCTACTTTCCCAAAAGAGTGAAAATCTATCTACTTTTCGAAGATGAATAATAACTTTCGGAAAGTAGATATTTCCCTTTTTATGATACAAATTTCCCGTTTTCTATGATTATCTACTTCGCAAAAATTAGGTAATATTTCAAAATTCA